TTGAATCTCTTTCATGCACCTTAGGTTGAGAGATCTGATTATGATCTTATTTGTAACAAGATCACAAATAACAAATACGAGTCATACTCTAATGAAATTTACTCGTATTTTGAAGAGCAAAAAAGTCAAACAAGGACTCAAATAAAGTAGGAACTGTTGTGAATAATTAAGTTTTTCCTTTATGCTTTTTTATTTTACGTCCTTGTGGACAACTTTATCATTTTCCTTGAGAGATAGTTTTGTAGTTTCATTTTTTAATAGTAATAAGAATACATAAAAGGGGGGTATGGGGGTCAAGGGGACATCATGTCACCCTTTCTTTTCTTTCTCTCTTCACCACATCTCTCTCTCTCTCTCTCTCCCCCCCCCCACCTTCTCCTAATTCTTGATCTTCTCTACAATTTCTTGATTCTCAACCAACTAAAGCGTTGTATTTTAACATGGTATTAGAGCGGGGAGCTTTAGGTGATGCTTTTGAAACCCTAAATATGTAAAATTCCGGTATGGACAAAAAAAACCCTAAACGCTAAAGGATATTTTTCCTGTGAATTTCCTTTGATTTGTGTGAATCAATAAAACAAAGATCTGAAAAAATGAGATAGGGAATCAAACCCTAATTTTATCGATATTCCTTATTTGGGTCAAGTTTGTGATGTCAAACAAAAAACTCTACTACTGATTGGGATTTTTTGATGTGTCAAAATTGGTTGTTTGACCTTTTTAATATATTGCACCTCTATTTTGAGTTATAAGATATTTTATCGAGATCTCTAGAATGGATTGTCTCAGATCTTTGACTGGAGTGAAATCAAGCGGTTGTTTGTGATAATCAATTTTTTTTTTCTCTTCGTGATAACCAGTGAGGGTTTTTTGGGTGTTTTTTGGCTATGTAGTGGCTGGATGTCAAAGACAAGTGATCCAGAGCACTCTTCTACCACCACCAATAGTCAGGGTGTACACTCCCACTTGGGTATCCATGGAGAAAATCCTGGACTGAAAATAACTACTCTTACACTTGATGGAACCAATTATTTAGAATGGTCACAATCTGCTAAAATGGTTATTGTTGGTAGAGGGAAGTTGGGATACATAACTCATAAAATTGTGGAACCTGAAGAAACAAGTCCTTAAAATGAAATGTGGGAGACTGAAAACTTAATTGTAATGCCATGGTTATTGCACTCAATACAACCCTCAATTAGTAGGGATTTTCTGTTTCTTCGGACTGCAAAAGAAATCTAGGACTCGGTACACCAAACATAATCCCAAAGCAAGAATGCATCCCGAAAGTACCAATTGAGACAGGAGATATCACATCTTCAATAGGGGGAGATATCTCTAGCTTCATATTTTGCTTTACTTCGCTGTCTATGGGATAAATACACAGTTTGTGGAACAAAATTGTATTTTTGTGTTTTTGGATGGATTGAACCCTGAGTTTGAGTTAGCTAGGGTTCAAATCCTTAGTCAAGATACTGTTCCATCTCTCAATCAAGTATAATCCCTTATCTAGAGTGAAGAAAGTAGAAAGAGTCTCATGCTACCTACACAACCACCAGATCGTTTTGTTCGTCTCTTCCCCATTGCCTCCTAAAAACAATCAGGGGAGTGGATCACGAAAATTTGGAAAAAGGGGTCCAAATCAAGGGGATAAAAGTAACTTAAAGTGTGATCATTGTGGTAGGATTAGTCACATTAAGGAGAACTGTTGGGATTTAGTTGGTCGACCTGCAAAATTCAATCGCCCTAGGCAATTCCATACACATAATGCTTCATCCACTGATAGTTCAACAACTATTAATACAGATAAGGTACAATCCAATGCAGTTACTCCCTTACCTTTTGTCCAAAGGGAAATGATATCATTTCTTAAGGAGGAAATTGAGAGCCTTCATCGGTTGTTTGCACAGTTAAATGGCACATCCACTACCTCTACATTATCCTTTGCCCACTCAGGTATCATGCTTTTGCTAACCATGTCTCTATTTATCCTTCTGGATAGTCTTAGATCATTGATTCTGGCACTTCAGATCGTATGATTGGTATGTCTAGTCGGGGCCTGATTTTTCCTCATGCGGACGGCGGGAGAAATTCCTCTCTCAAACAACCGCAGAGGGTCCGCGCACACTGTATGTTTGTGAGTATGCCCACGCGTGCTCTCCTATGCACGGATAAGAACCAACAAAGAGAGAGATTTACGACGGGGGTGCGGTTTAGGCGCTTACCTCGTTGTTTTGGGGTTCGGGACATACCCGAGCAGTTTGCCCCCTTAGAACAATCACGAAGCCCTCCGACTGTCTGCCGGCACGGTTTGGATACGAATTCTCCTCGGGCTTTAAAACGTCACTTCGCTCTCTTTCGCTGGAAACTGCAATGCGGATTCGTCGATACTCCTCTATAAAAGTTCACTCAAACGAGAGGCTGGCTAGCAAGAAATAGAATGGGGAGAGAAATGGTGACAAGATTCCCCTATACGAGCAAATACTACGCGCTCGGGCGATCAAGGGCCGAGGGGTTAAAACTCTCCTGACTATTGGCTCAGGAAGACTCCTCCCGAGTGACTGAGGGAGAGAGCGTATGCGTCTCTCACAACTCAATTCGATTATACGGAGAGGAAGTTAGAGCGATGGTCTGAGGGTTGGAAGTCTTGGGCTGACTCTGAAAGGTATTGAGTCGAGCGTATGTCGGATAGTAGGATGCTATACGGTGCCGTAGGTTTGTGGCGTTTACGCTAAAGATGCAAGGAGAAAGAGATGGGACCACGTGTTTACCACGAGCACGGGTTACTGCGCAGGGCAAGCAATGAGTGAAGAGAGAAAAGAAAGAAGAGAGAGAGAGAGAGAACAAAGTCGCACGATTAGGGTTGACTAGGGGTAGTTTCTCTCTCTGAAAAGTTTTCTCTCTCTTTGGCGTTAGATCCAAGGGTTAGGAGCAAAAGAAAAGTAGAAACGAGCTTAATGCCTCTATTCGTTAATGAATGATCCGACCCTTTACAATTAACCTAAGCTTGCTTATATAGAGGACCCATCGAATAGGGGTGGATGCTCAAAACTAAGCTTAAAAACAATTAAAATAAATTCTTGAATTTAAGAATAGTGACCAAAATGCCCTTTAAACCTTTTGTTCTAATGACGAAACCATCCCAATCTGAGGGGGCCTTTGCCATTGCCAGATCTTGGAAGCTTTTTCAGATGCTTATGGTGGTAGTTCAAACGATCCATCATCGTAGTCTTGATGCTTACTTGATTCTGAAGACTTTGATGTCTTTAGATCGTCTTGAAACGGACTTTTTTTGAGGGGTAGAAATCCTGCTAGATCGTGAACTTTGGTCGTCAATGCAATGCGATGCACGGTGTTCCAAGTTTTTATTTTGGCTGCAAATTAAAGAGGAGACTTCCACAGTCGTTTTGCACCAATTTTTGTCCATTTTGGTTCTTGTTTGAAGTACTTTCTAAATTTGGGAGATCGCCGGAAAAAGGGATTCCGGCAACCGAGCGATCTTGCTTTCTTCAACCTTGGAATTCGTGATTTATCCGACCTTAGATTGAGCGCAACAGTTATACCAGCTTGTAACCCTTTGTGATACGGTCGCATCGAACCTGACTATGTGAAGATCCGATGTACAGATCTCTCGAGTTATTGCTTCACGAAGTCCGATATGCCTTTTCTTCAAAAACTCTGATTTTCATGGTTTCGGGCTCATCTTCTCTCAAGAAAAGCTTTGATTCTGGGTCATGTCACGACGTGTGCCATATGTCAAAATGACCGGGTCGTCGAGACCTAACTTGTGTCCAAATTTGAGCTTGTTCCGACTCCAAACGAGTGTTGTGTGGGCATTTGAAGGTCATCCCGAGATGTGAAGAATCGCACCCACCATGATTAAGGACTGGTTTGGTGAGGCCATGCTGGAATAGTGTACAACCTAATTGTTTTTTGGTAATTTGGGCCCACAATGTTCCTGAAAGGTCCGATTAAGCACAAATTTGGTCCCTGGGGGTTTTTCAAGGTCGTCACTGGCTCTCCTTATTTGTACCAGGGATATAAGTATGTCATAAATGACGTACAACAATGTCTCTTTTGTTTTCTTCTTATTCTCTTTGTTTTGGAAGAGACAGGAATTGCTGATGGTTCTTTCTCGTCCATGGCTAGTAAAGGAACTATAAATATTTCACCTCAATTGTCTTTATCAAAGATTCAACATTCTTCATGTTCCTAGCTTTCATACAAAAACTAATGTCTGTTAATAGTATTATCAAGAGTCTAAATTGTAGTGTGACCTATTTTCCTTCTCATTGTATTTTTCAGGACTTGGATACGAGGAAAACAATTGGCAGTGGTTATGAAGCTGGTGGTCTCTACATTCTTGACCCGCCTACTACTACTACTCAAGCTCTTCAGTCTCGTAGTATTGTTAATAAAGATCGGATTTGGCAATGGCATCTCTGACTTAGTTATTTGTCTCTTCAGTCATTAAAAGTTCTATTTCCTAAGTTGTTTACTTCTGCACGTGTGTCAGAGCTTCAATGTGAAGTTCGTAAACTTTCAAAACATTGTAGAAACTCTTTTTACCCAGTAATAATAAAAGTATTGTTCCTTTTGCCATTGTACATTCTGAGGTATGGGGTACATCTCTTGTGACTTCTATTTTTGGTTATCGATTTTTGCTTATTGTGGATGACTACTCTTGGTGTACATGGATCTATCTTATGAAGACCAAAGACAGTTTCTAAAATCTTAAAGGTCTTTCATAAGATGGCTCATACTCAGTTTGACACTAAAATTAAGGCACTCAAGTCAGATCAAGGTAGAGAGTATTGCAATGGAGAGCTATTGTCAAATATAGAAGAACAGGGCATAGAACATCAGAATTCTTGCTCATATACCCCAGAACAACATGGGGTGGCAGAAAGAAAGAATAGACACATCTGAGAAGCGAGTCGTGCTCTTCTCTCGAATATGAATGCACCCAAGAAGTATTGGTTTGAAGTTGTGCTTACTGCATCCTATCTCATCAATCAAATGCCCTCTCGTGTTCTAGAGTATGGATCGCTTTATAAACCTCTCCATCCTGATTGTCCACATTCTAATATTCCTCCTAAGATCTTTGGTTGCGTTCGCTTCTCACGTCCTTGGTTCAAATCATACAAAGTTGAACCCTAAATCCATAAAATGTATTTTTCTCAGTTATCCTTCATCTCAAAAAGGTTATAAATGCTATGATCCAGTATCTGGGAAGAAATTTGTTTCAATGGATGTAAACTTTTTCTAACTCAAGGACACAGGAGACCAGTGAAGGGCAGGCTTGTGACATCAGAACAGAAAAAAGGGAATTAAAGGCTTATACTCGGCAGAACAAAAAGAAGTGGAGACCACTGTTGCAGACATCTTCGGAGTCAGTCTCATACGTCTAATCCGGGTAATCCTGATTCTACTTTCATCGATTCTCAGTGAACAACTGGATCTACCCATTGCTGAATGGAAACATAAATGTAGTTGTACTGCTCACTTATTAGCAATTTTGTGTCTTATGAGTCCTTGTCTCCTTCCTACCGTGCTTTTGTGTCCTCTATTTTCTATTTCTATCCCTTCCTATGCTACAAAAGCTTTAGCTCATCCTAAGTGGAAGGAGGCTATGTGTGAGGAGATGAGGGCATTACTTAAGAATAGTACTTGGGAGATGGTGAACCTTCCCAAAGGAAAGACGTTCGTTGGTTGCCAATGGGTTTACATTGTAAAGCACAAAGCTGATGGTACCATTGCCAAGGGGTTTACTCGGACTTATGGAATAGACTACCAAGAAACATTTGTGCCTGTAGCTAAAATGAATTCCATTTGAGTACTTCTAACTTTAGCGGCAAACTTGGCGTGGCCCTTGCATCAGTTGGATGTCAAGAGGGCATTCCTTTATGGGGAATTACAAGAAGAGGTGTATATAGTACCTCGACTCAGGTTTTGTGCACCTGGATGCTAAGGGAAAATGTGTAGACTGAGAAAGGCCATTTATGGACTAAAGCAATCTCCTCGAGCTTGGTTTGAGAGGTTCAGAGGGCATGTCCAAAGAATCGGGTACACTCGAAGTCATGCTGACCATATCTTATTTATTAAGTATACTAAGACCAGCACCACAATCCTAATATATATGTTGATGATATTGTTGTAACTGGTATTCGTCCTAAGGAAATTCAGCAGCTTAAGGTTTTTTGGCGAGAGAATTTGAAATCAAAGACCTGCCCACAGAAGTTTTTCTTTGAATAGAAGTAGCCAGGTCAAAGAGGAATTTTCAGCTCTCAAAGGAAGTATATATTGGATCTACTTAAGGAAACTGAAAAACTTGGGGCGAAACCTGCAGACAGATGCATAGAACAAAATCACAAGCTTGATGACAAAAGGGGAGAAGCTCTCAAGGATGGGGGTATGTTTCAAAGATTAGTGGGTCGACCAATATACCTTTCGCTTACACATCCAGACATTGCATATGTTGTTAGTGTGATTAGTCAGTTTATACATTCCCCACAAACTATGCACCTTGAGGCTGCCATTTCAATACTCAGGTACCTAAAATCATCACTCAGGAGAGTACTATTGTTTGCTAATCATGGGCATTTATGCGTTGAGGCCTACATAGATACAGACAACCCTGGTTCTATTATAGATCGAAGGTCGACTTCAGGGTACTATACTTTTGTTGGAGGGAATCTTGTGACTTGAAGGAGCAACAAGCAATCAGTAGTAACAAGATGAAGTGCAGCAGCTGAGTATCGATCCATGGCTCGTGGTGCATGTGAATCAATCTGGCTAAAAATTCTCTTACGAAAACTTGGTTTTCCCATGGAAGGGTTATTGTCTTTGTACTGTGACAACAAAGCAGCCATTAGTATAGCCCATATCTGGTCCAGCATGATAGAATGAAGCATCTAGAAGTGGATCGCCATTTCATTCGAGAAGGGTTACTAAGGAAATTTGTCTTCTATATGTTAAAACTGAAGACCAGCGAGTAGACATACTTACCAAAATTGTAGGGAAGCCTTGACTAAAACTTATGTTAAGCAAGCTGGGCATGACAACTATCTATGCACCAGCTTGAGAGGGAGTGTTGTGAATAATTAAGTTTTTTCTCTATAGTTTTTATTTTAAGTCCTTGTAGACAGTTTTCTTATTTTTATTTTTGTAATTTTACTTTTTAATAGTAATAAGAATACATCAAAGAAGGGTGTGGGGGTCAAAGGGATGTCACATCACCCCCTCTTTTCTTTCTCTGTTCATCACATATCTCTCTCTCTCTC